ATCACAGCCTGTCCTTTGCTCAAGTCTCTCTCTTTCTCTCCATTTTCTCCTTTTCTGATATGATTGTATTTTTTAGATCGGTTTTTTCTTCGAAACGTTAAACGCTCATAAAAGTAGTTCACATGACTTTCTTGCTATCTGAAGTCATACAATAGCTTTGTACAGTATGTGGAAATGACTGAAATTTCGCTGTAAAAATCTTTTAGCTCTCAAATCTCATTCGTCCTTTTAGCATATTCAAACTTTGAGCGTTAAGAACATGTGAGAACCAAAAGAATTCGGTGTCATTTACATCAAACCTGAGTTTGAATATGTGCATACACAAATGAGGTTTGTGAGAGCAACATGATTGGAATGATATCAGTAAACAAGTTTAGTCTGTTCCTAACACAAAGCTATACAATACATCAGGGCCCGGTTTCACAGACAGGGCTTAGATTAAGCCAGGATTAGGTCTTAGTTCAATTAGGACATTTAAGTAGCTTTTATAAACATGCTTTAGAAAAAAAAAAACATTACTGGTGTGAATCTTCAGACAAAACAATGGCACTGAGTTCACATTAAGTTGATTTGTTTGATTTGTTAAAACTGTGTAGTCCAAATGGATTGAAATATACAATCAAAATACATAAATCTTAAATATTAGGCCTGAATGTTTTTTGAGTGTATTGTATAACTTTTAAAAACTCATTTTTATGATTTGTAACATTTTATGATTTTATGCAAAAAGAACCAAGAGTGTTAATTTGAAAGTTCGTTGTTGTTGTATGGAATGAGGGTGAGTAAATGATGACAGAATATACATTCTTCTTTTAAATAGTCTTTACACACACTTTTGCCACTTTATCACAGATACAACACCCTTTTACACTATTTTTGAGCATGTCAAGTCTGCTTGTTAAAGGACACTGGATAAATTAGCTTTCTTGACCAATAGGGGAGGAGAGGAGCTGGTGGTCACAGCCTATGAGCTACACTCAATTGCTGCATAAATTAACATGCTAATAAGCAGGAATGTTCATTTATGACCCCATTGCAGAAGTAGCCACAGATATGCTATTTAAGCGTTTGCAAACCGATTAATGGAATGGATTTGCTTGCTGGTAAATATTCATGTGCTCTTGTGTTTTTGGTGAAGTGAGCAAAGAGATGGTCCATTAGATGGACTGAAGAGGCGTTCATAATGACCACCAGGGCCTTTTCCGTTAGGATTGGCTTAGTTTTAGCCAGGAATTGGCTGGAGTGTGTGATTCAACAGCCTGTATGATGTAAATGTGGCTGAATAAGAACAATATTTTGTAGAAGTCCTCTTCAGGTCTGGATTTCCAAATGAGATTGTTGATATTCATGTGCATGCTATCATTTTTAGCCATTGTTGTCATGTATGACCAAAGTTTTTGCTGGCCATATAAATGTTTGCGATTCAAGGTCAAACTCAATTACTAGGGATGCACCGAAATGAAATTTTGGCCGATAAATCTAAATCCAAAATTAGCTCAGCTACGCAACTACCACTTTGATGCTTCAAAAAGTTCATAATGAGATCATAAAACTAATCTACATGAATTGAGTGGTTTAGTACAAATTTTCTGAAGAGACACAATCGCTTTATATGATGAACAGATTTAATTTAGGGGTTTTATTCACACATAAACTTTGAACAGCGAACATAAACTGAAGCTTGACCGAATCTGCTTGACGCGCGAGAACAAACCTCTTGCAGAAGCTCAAACGTGCTGAGTAACATGAGAATGAACGTCATTGGTTCTTGCAGAAGGTCAAACATGCTCCGTAACACGAGAATGAACCTCATTGGTTCTTGCTGAAGCTCAAACGTGCTGCGTAACAGGAGAATCAACCTCATTGGTTCTTGCAGAAGGTCAAACGTGCTGCGTAACACGAGAATGAACCTCATTGGTTCTTGCAGAAGGTCAAACGTGCTGCGTAACACGAGAATGAACCTCATTGGTTCTTGCAGAAGCTCAAACGTGCTGCGTAACACGGGAATGAACCTCATTGGTTCTTGTTGAAGCTCAAACGTGCTGCGTAACACGAGAATGAACCTCATTGGTTCTTGCAGAAGGTCAAACGTGCTGCGTAACACGGGAATGAACCTCATTGGTTCTTGTTGAAGCTCAAACGTGCTGCGTAACACGAGAATGAACCTCATTGGTTCTTGCAGAAGCTCAAACGTGCTGCGTAACACGAGAATGAACCTCATTGGTTCTTGCAGAAGCTCAAACGTGCTGCGTAACACGGGAATGAACCTCATTGGTTCTTGTTGAAGCTCAAACGTGCTGCGTAACACGAGAATGAACCTCATTGGTTCTTGCAGAAGGTCAAACGTGCTGCGTAACACGGGAATGAACCTCATTGGTTCTTGTTGAAGCTCAAACGTGCTGCGTAACACGAGAATGAACCTCATTGGTTCTTGCAGAAGCTCAAACGTGCTGCGTAACACGAGAATGAACCTCATTGGTTCTTGCAGAAGCTCAAACGTGCTGCGTAACACGGGAATGAACCTCATTGGTTCTTGTTGAAGCTCAAACGTGCTGCGTAACACGAGAATGAACCTCATTGGTTCTTGCAGAAGGTCAAACGTGCTGCGTAACACGGGAATGAACCTCATTGGTTCTTGTTGAAGCTCAAACGTGCTGCGTAACACGGGAATGAACCTCATTGGTTCTTGCATGTCAAGCGAACATGCTTGAGCTTCCGTTTACCACAAATGATGTGTAAGTTGATCATATTTATTTATTTTATTTACTTACTTACCCACCCACCCACCCAATGAGTTTTCTTAAATGATTAGTTCACCCAAAAATAAAAAATAAATTGTCATCCATTACTCATCAAATTGTCAGCAGCCTAGGGCTAGGCAACTACCCCTTCGATGCTTCAAAAAGTTTATAAAGAGATTGTAAAACTAATCCAAATGAATTGATCGGTTTAGTCCAAATTTTCTGAAGAGACTCGATCGCTTTATATGATGAACAGATTGAATTTAGAAATTAATGTTTACTGTACATTTTATGAAGGTAAATATCACTTTTGTGCAATTATGCAAAAAAAAAAGTGTCAAAATAATATATGATGTAATTGTTTATTTAGGGTGCATAAAATGCTAGATATTAAATTAGCCTCAGAAACACAGCGATTTTATTCCAGTAAATGTTTCAAATGTAATTTCCACCATAGGAAAAATGGTGATTTATGAGAAGTGATGGAAATAACATTTTTTGTGACTGTTTAGAAGGGAAAAGACTTTTGGACATTTTTAGCGAGTTACCAGCCTTATACAAGAACTTAACGTTTTTTTCTGTCTGTCACTTCGCTATCATCTTCAGACAATATTTAGTCCATGTGATCATTTAGTTGTCTCTCCCGCCACGTTTCCTCCATAACACACCCATGAAGCCGATCATCTCAGCAAGTTCCCCGAGCACCAGAGTGCTGGTTCTTTTCCTTCTCCAGCTGGGTCTAACGGTATGAGTGTATTTATTCACTCCCTAGGCCTCCTCCACCCCGCTGCTCAAAACACCAGCATTACCTCCAACTGCATGCATTCAGTCTGGACTGATATCGATTTAGCAACACATTACGGTGCTAAAAACTAAAAGGTAACTGCTGTTGCGCGTCTCTCTTCCTATCCCCCCTCCTCCCTCCTTCCGTTCTTAATGCAAAACGTTCTCATCATTAGAATGAGAGAACATTTGTCTAAATGAGCGTTAGGCATTTCAGTAAACTCATTTAGCACCTGAGACCTTAGCAGGTGATTTGAATAAATGATGTTTAGCTTTTTAAGCTGAAAAATTCATCACTTGTCACCACGAGCTATTGATTCATAACAGCAGGGATGACTTGTTAATTGAAGTCTAATGAATTAGAATTAGAAAATGAAATCGGCACAAGATATGCGGAAAACTCAAATGGTCCTGGCGGTGACTGACTGGTGTTTTTAGTAAATGCTGACCACTCACCTTAACAAGGGTGTTTAACAGATAATTGATGCCGAGACATGGACAGGCTGCACCAATGTGTTTTATCTGCGCTCGCTTTACCTGAGATAAACAGAATCACTCTGCTCAAACGGCCAGCCACTGTTTTGACTGGCAAATGTAAACTGCATATTTTTTCACGTTCGGCTAAGCTTTCATGCTTTTATTCAAATGCCCAAGGGATGTTGACCTACAGTATATCTTTCTCAGTAGTGTAGTATGAGAATGTGCTCTTAGAGTATACTTGAGTCGAGACTGTAAATGCAAGCTTGTGAACTGTTTGCCTTTTCGGCTTTTGGGAAGGAGGTGCCTTAAAACAAGTCATATAGTGATGGCTATCAGATGGTAACTATGATCCTTTGAATTAAAAATTCAGCTTTGCTTTTAAAATATATTTAAATAAAAAAGCAGATATTTTAAATTGTAATAATACTTCACAATATTACTGTTTTTACAGTATTTTCAATCAAATAAATGTTACCTTGGTGATCTTGGAGGACTTACCGACCCAAAACTTTTGTATGGTAGTTTATGTCCACAAAATAGGATATTACTAAGGTATGTTTTGGTACATAATTCGGGGGTTTTTTTTGCAACAGGTGTAGCATAGACTCTATAGTACAACCAAGGCTTGACATTAACTTTTTGGCTCATCAGCCACTGTGGCTAGTGGTTTTTTAAAGTTACTAGCCTCTCAGCATTTTCACTGGCCACAATTTTGACATTGATACCATGGGGGAAAACTGCCATGAAGTTATTTTAAATATTTGGTTTAGTAATGCTGTGGATATAAGTGATTGTTTTCTGCTTCTCTCAAGTTTTGCTTCGATGATGTACTTCTGTATGTCCACGGTTGAGTTCTCATTGGTTTATCTGCAACATCACAACTCCAAAATAGCTTACTTTAATGTCATTTTGTATGCACCGAGATGACTGATGGTTTGTGACAGCAGCAGTAATTTTACAGCTACAGCTTTTTCTGTGTGTTTGTTGTCTCTGCAGGGCAGGGAGGTTAAACGCAGCGCTGGAACTGAAGACGGCCGCAAATAAGCAAGTCCTTGGAGAAGGTAAACAAGTGATTAGTTATTAGACTCCAATGGAGTCGTGTGTGTGTGTGTGTGTGTGCGCGCGCTTGTTGACGGACTAGAAAGGGCAGGACTAGTGCTAGTTTTCTATATCTTTTCTATATCTTTTTGTCAGCAGCCATATCACCCTGTACCCCAAGACTGGTTGCCCACTGAAGCTAAGCAGGGCTGAACCTGGTTAGTACCTGGATGGGAGACCTCCTGGTAAAGCCAGGTTGCTGCTGGAAGAGGTGTTAAGGTGATGATACACAGGGCAACTTTTTGAGCAATGTTGATGGGCAATCTTGCCGAGCGATTGTTGCTTGAGGACTTTCTCGTTGAAAATGGGCAATAAATTTCTATCTGGAATTCTGGATCATTTAGATCAGTCGTGGGCCCTGTCTCTCATCTGGTTCCCCGTTGACGGCAACATTGCCCAGCAACATTGCCCTAAAAGTTGCCCTGTGTATCATCACCTTTAGTGAGGCCAGCAGAGGGTGCTCACCCTGTGGTCTGTGTGGGTCCTAACACCCTAGTATAGTGATGGGGACACTATACTGTCAAAAAGCACCATCCTTTGTTTGAGACGTTAAAACGAGGTCCTGACTCTCTGTGGTCATTAAAAATCCCAGGATGTCCTTCAACAAAAGAGTAGGGATTTAACCCCTGCATCCAGGCCGAATTTGCCCATCATCATGGCTTCCTAATAATCCTCATATAAACTGATTGGCTTCATCACTCTGTCTCCTCTCCACCAGTAAGCTGGTGTGTGGTGTGCGTTCTGGCTCAAAATGGCTGCCGTCGCATCATCCAGGTGGATGCTGCACATTAGTGGTGGTTGAGGAGATTCCCCCCTTCTATGGAAAGCGCTTTGAGTGTCAAGAAAAGCGCTATATAAATGTAACAACAAATTATTCGTATTATTAATGAATCACCCGATGTGTTGCTGCTCTTGTGTTTGTATACTTTTCTCAAGGTTGAGAGAAAAAGAGGTTGTTTATTTTTTTCAAAGTTTACCGCTAAACAGGACTGGTTTTTTGCCCTACTGCACAGGTCTTTTATTCCCTTTGTTTCTTGTTTCTCTTTGAGACAGGAATGGCTTTTATTAATCCCTGTCAACTTGCTGAGTCAACATATTTTAAATGGCCATTGTCAGTAATTAATTGGACTTTTTGAGTTATCCAGGTACTACGACAAGGAAAACTTAGCCATTAGCGGCAACAAATGGTATTTGAAAACGATATTTGGTCTGATTCAGAATGGAACAGCCCTAATCAGCTGACATGGAGACCAGAGCAAACCATAGAAGTGAAGTAGGGGTGTTCATGTACAGTATTAAGGTAGGAGGAGGAGGAATGTGTTTGTGTGTTTATGTTCGGTCTCTGACAGTATGGTGGACAAGGTAGGGACTTCCCATCCTTTCCCATGAGCTCATGCTTACAGACACATTCACACACACCCAAATACGCAAACCTTGTTCACTACGTGTTTGATTTCTCTTTTGTTATTTTGCATGATGTTCTTTCTATTTTTCTCACCATATACACCTTCTTAAAAAGCTACTGTATTCCTGTCTTCTTTCTTTCTGCATCGTTTGTCTGTTGATCTCCCTCTCTTGACATTACACAATACAAACACCGTAAAAATCTTTTTGTAATCAGTATCTTTGTCTTGTTTTTCAGCAAAATTATCTAAATATTCTTAAAACAAATTTACATATACATAATGAGATTTTGTTTTCAGTGAAAATTACTCCATTGGCAATTTTTTTCATAGTTGTAAGTCTGATGAAAAAACTGTTTTTTTTTTTTGTGTAGATTTATGCTTAAACTAAATGCCCAACATTACCAAAGAAAAAGTTGTCTTTCTTTTGATATACATTACATCCCTGGTTTTAATTGTTTATTTTAAGCGCTGCCCACAATGCTATTGGCTCCAACAAGATTAGATTTTTTTTTACTGGAAAACAGTACTAGTAATACTAGTAATACTTATTTATTTACTTACTTACTTACACCCAGTGAGTTTTCTTAAAGAGTGAGTTCACCCAAAAAAAAAAATGGCATCAATTACTCATCAAATTGTCATCAGCCTACGCAACTACCATTTTTGATCCTTCAAAAAGTTCATAAAGAAATCATAAAAATAATCCATATAAATTCAGCGGTTTAGTCCAAATTTTCTAAAGAGACTCGATCCCTTTATATGATGAACAGATTGAATTTTGAATTTGAATTTCTATATTAGATTTGAATTAAATGTGAATAAAATCCTAAATTCAGTCTGTTCATCATATAAAGCGATCGAGTCTCTTCAGAAAATTTGGACTAAACCTCTCGATTCATATGGATCTCATTTTATGATCTCTTTATGAACTTTTTGAAGCGTCGAAGTGGTAGTTGAGTAGCAGTCTATGGAGGGAAAAAAATCTCTCCCATTTCATTAAAATATCTTCATTTGTGTTACAAAGATGATCGAAGGTTTTACGAGTTTGGAACGACATGAGGGTGAGTTATTAATGACAGAATTTTAATTTTTGGGTGAACTCGTGTTTAGGGTTTGGTCATTCCATTGGTTATCTGGGAAGGGTGTAGGTTTATCTCCCTTTTTCACTCCCTTTTAGCAACTGGCCATCCAAGATAAACATCATACTATACGTTTTTGCAAAGGATTTGCATATGTCAGTGTTTAAAAACCAGTTTGAGGTGCAAATTATAATGATAATGATGCTGAAGTATTACATACATTTTTGGATTTCGGATTTTGATAATTTTACACACTTTCAAACTTTTTAATTTATCATGCACTTTGGTATAACGCAAAATTACTTGCCTATAAATTCAATTCAGTCCACTTTCCAACAGAAATACATGTTTACTTCTGTATGGATGCCTGGTATAATCTTATCCCCACTCAACCACACTTACATAAGTTAAAGTAAGTGTATATCCACTTAAACTCTGAGTACTTTTTCAGAGAGCTAAACAGCAGGGGAAAATATAATATTTGCATGCTGTGTGGCGCCTGCCAAGGGCTAAATTGGAATGCCTCTGAAGATCATACACTTGATTATTTACTTTATTTGCCTCATCCTCTCGTTTTACGGCAACCACAAAGATGGAAATTCTGAGGTAACACCAAATGAAAAGTTGTATATTGATGCATGTTAGGGCGCAGAGGTGGATTAGGGTCCATGTAATAGCTCTTCCGAGTACATTTTATTGCTTACTATAAAAAAAAAATGTAATTCTTTGTATCAGCATCAGGTTGAAAATTGCTTTGTATTAGCATTAGCATTTGGTAAGCCCCTAATTCCCCTGTTTCTACAGCTGAGTGTGTTTCTATGCATTTACAAGTGCTTCCGATTTGTAGGAGTTCACTTAAATCTCTTTTTCTGCCAAAGCCATGAACATAATAAACAAGCCAGCATGGCTAAAGCGCCACACGGGGGAGATTGCTAACGAGAAAGTTAAATGCTTACGCTAGTCACACAGTTGTTTATGCGCCCGTGTGCATAACTCCAGAGAGGATTTTAACTGTGCTGTAATAAAAAGTTTTTAGAGCGGTAACATCTTGAACTAAAGAATTAGCATTAGCTTCTTTTTCTGTTAATTATGAAATTGTCAGCATTTTCTTACAAAGAAGTACTGTGGAAGTGTCAGATGTAAATATTGTATGGAGGATTAACACAATTACATATAGCAGTATTACCATGGTGTCCAAAACATACTTTTTTCTTTTTCTTTTTTTTTTATAGTATTTTTACCGTTTATAACTTGAATATAAATTGAATAACAAAATGATGATGTTTGGAAACAGTTGAGGTCACAATGACAGAGGTGGAACAGATCCAAATTGGCATTTTAATTTTTTGATGCATTTAAAACTGGCTACCTTTCCTTGCAGTGCTCCGTGCTTTTAAAAAAAAAAAGTCACGTTTTTTTTTTATTTACTTGATGAAAGTGTACTTCTCTGAATGCATATTAGAAAATCACAATTACAAATCCATTATGTTTTTCATGGTATTGATAACTTAATGAATTCTGCTCTCTTAGAGGTGGAAAGGCTTTGATATAGTTGGTCTGCCACTGCGTCGGAGCGAGTCTTCGTGACAGGATCTTTGTACTGAATGGAAGTGATGGCAGTCAGGCTGGCAGCAGTCTCTGCTTCTGTCAGAGGAGTTGTCTTCAGAGAGATGAAAGGAAATCTGTCCACAAAAACGCTCCGTGAGGAGTGTGCGAGCGCGAGAGTGTTTGTCACGTATATCACAAAGCTCTGTTTGTCTTCTTTTCATCTGAAGACATTCGCTGTTTTTCCTTTCTTTCTTTTTTTGCATCACTTTTCTTCAATTTCTTCATCCAGCTGAAAGGAGATGACCGTATTTTAAATGGGTCAAATTGAATGAAAGAATGATTTTTAGGTGGTTCTTCCAACATGAAATGTATGCATTTGCTTAAGCTTTTTTTTTGCTTAAGTGAGGTTGACTGTTCTTTCCCCCCCAGTCGTTTTGTTTTCTTTGTACTAGCAATGCAAATACACCACACGGTTGAACTCATTTTGGTAAGACGAAAGTGAAATAATTAGCACATTGTTGAACATAAGCAGCTAAGCCATACTCTATGGGCTTAGTCTTAGCTTGCCTTCCTTAAAAATATACCAGATCAAGTTCATAAATCATCATGGAAATTGAAAGTATATGTCCTTAATGACTTACACAGGTTGATGTTTATTGTTCTCTATCTGACATTCGCTATATTCATGGTCAATATCATTTTGGCAGTGTCTCGCTGCTGTATTTATTTGAGGAAGCAAAATCCCTTTTAGGGATGAAGCACCTGGGCCTGGCCGCTTAATGGAATAGCTTTAACATTAAGTAAATAAACAGCTTGCATTTGAAAGGTGTGTGTGTGTGTGAGAGAGAGAGAGAGAGAGAGAGACAAAGAAAGACGGGGAGTGTATTTGTGCTGTGGGTAGGAAAGGAGATACGCCTACACTGGTTAGCT